TCTCTCTCTCTCTCTCTCTCTGTCTCTCTCTGTCTCTCTCTCTCTCTCTCTTTCTCTCTCTCTCTCACTCCCCCCCCACCCCCGTGACAGCAGGCCGGCTCCCGATTCTGCATATGGCCCAGGACAGCTCTTCACGTGGTGTGGTCCCAGGGCCTGGTACATGTCCTCCAACGTGGACCGAATTTTTTTTGCCATTTGAAACTATGGCCCTTTTTTTCCTTTTTCTTTATTTAAGAAAATCCACGACCTCTACTAGGGAGCGTGGTATGAGCAGCCCTCACTAGTAGCCATGCCCGGTGGCTCTGTCTATTGGTGGGGAGCTGCACCTGCTGGAAAACGGGTCCAGCATCCTTGTACATCAGAAAGAACCACAAGACGACCATGAGAGAATCCCTCCAGTATTCCTTACCTCTGGTTGCCTACGGGGATTGAATGCCCGGTGAGAAGATTTTTGTGACAGAAATGTCTCTTCACCCCTCCACCGGGGCGCCTAAACTAGCCCGGCATGTCTAACATCTTCCATCCCCTAGGTGCTTTTTCCAAAAGGCTTTGCTTGGGTTTTAAGAATAAACCCTCAAATCTCTGCTTGTTTGTGATGCTTGAATGCGGCCAGAATCCCGACGCTCTCCTTGCTCTGAGTCACCATTTGAGTCATCCCAAGCTTCTGGCAGCGTATGTCCACTGGTGAGCTTCGTCGACCCCAGGGGGCCACCGGAGGTGCGTCATGCCCAATGAGTGACAGCTGTGGTGAATTGAGAGTTTCAATCAGAGAAAAGGGATGAGGTGGGAAGAGGACAGTTTTAGAGAGTTTTGTTTGGGAGTCTAGGAATTCTGAGCATTTGAAAAGAGGTTAGTAGTCATTCATAGTTTTTCAACCTCTTTTTCATTCTCTTGAATTTCTTTAGTACTTCTCAATAGTTCTCAGATTGGACAGGGTAGTGAACAAAACCACCACCTCCACCTCCACCTCCTCCCCTCCGCCTTTTAATTCTCAGTCTCAGCTTTCTAATTCTCAGTCTTTACCAAGTTTGTCAAATATGACTGCTTCAGCTAAATCGGATCAGGAAAAGGGGAAAAAAAAAGAATCATCTATACGAGAACCAGATCCGCAAAACTATTTAAAAGAAGCAGAGACCATCATCAACAACAAGAATTTGCCATCTCAGCTCACGAATGGTCAAAAGGATGGAAATCAGCAGAACGAAGACTTAGAAATGGAACAAGAATTGGACAGTGAACAAGAAGCCTCACTAGACCTACCCCTCTCAAGGAGGAGAGGAAAGAAAAAGAAGAAAATAATAATAAGAAGAGGAGGGCCTCAGTATCAGCAAAAATGGAAGCCCAAGTGAGGTACAAAAGGGGGGGCGTCGCATGCATCACAATCTTTGGAAACAGGGCAGTTTCAAAAGCAGGAGGGGGACCCTCAGCAGGATCTCTTTAGTGAAGCTTTTGGGCCTGCTCCTATGGATATTGACTCAGAACACCCCGCAGAAGATAGTCCCATTACTGAGGCTCCCCCTTCAGGAGAGGAAAAACTCATCACTGTGGAACACAAAATGATACAGCTGGCGGATTGGCTTCTCCAACAACTAAAAAGAAAATATGGAGAAGCCACAAATGAGTTATGGGACGCCTTCTATGTAAAGCTCATCAACCTAATGAATGTCAGTCCTTCCTTGAAACAGGTATTGACCGATGGACTCCCACAAGGAGCTAAATGGACATTAGTCAGTCACCGTATGTTCAAGGCAATAATGGACATGTTTCAACCTCTCACCCCTCCACCAAGGGAAAGTAAGGAGAAAAATGGCAGAGAGATGACAACAGCTTTGGTGCCCTCTCAACCACAACCTCAGGGATCTTTAAAAACAAGTACTGAGGGACAGCCCGTCACCGAGGGAGATAACATAAATGAAACACAAGGTAGCATAATCTACGTAGAAAATAACGGTCAGGCGGTCCTTCAGTCGCCCTCTCTGGCTGACAGTCAAGTGGAAGTTCCAGGGCAAGTAATATACGGGGATACTAATGGACAGTTAATACTATCACAAGTAATTACAACGAGTGACATCATAGTCAAC